TTTTTTTTTTTTAAATATAATTGTTGGCATTTTGATGGAATGTTCTAAATGTTTTGGCATGTAGGATTAGTGACTTAAATTTTTATAAACTTTACTAGCTATATAAAATTAATTTCTGTTGTTTAACTCATTTTTTTTTCAGTATATCCGTTGATATTCATCTTTCACTGTAAGAAATTATTTTCACTTATAAATCTGAAGGGACTGGCAGTAATGGAAACTGAAGTCCTCTTTTTGTATCCACAGGATGGATACAGTTGGGCCACTCCGGTGAGCCTCTCCATGCTGCCCATCAATGACCTGGAGGGACATTCTTCCCTCTCTTAGAGAGAGGATGTTTGGTCTCCATAGCAGCTCAGTTCTGGTCCTCTCCTGAGTAAAGACTGCTTAATTGTATGGTGGTTTTGTGATTAATGGACCTTAATCTTTTGAGGGTAGAAGTGAGACCTCCAGACTCTTTTCATTTAGGAACTCAAGCTGCACTTGAACCCCCGTTGAGGTGAGAGGCTAGTGATTTTATCCACTAAACCAGCTGTATAGCCTCTTAGTAGCATGTCTGTTTAACCATAACCAAAATTGATTACTTTCTCAGAAGCTAATTGATTTCTGTTTTTTAAACAGGGGAATGGAAAGATTATGCCAGCATCTACATTTGACATGGATAAGTTAAAATCCACATTGAAACAGTTTGTGAGAGACTGGAGTGAAACTGGGAAAGCAGAAAGGGATGCCTGCTACCAGCCAATCATTAAAGAAATTTTAAAAAATTTTCCAAAAGAGAGATGGTAAATAGTACTTTGTTTTTAACCAATTTCTTTAAGATATGCAAGCGCTGAGTTTCTCTATAAGACATTTTGCAATCCTGATTCATTTTTATGGTTGCTGAGTACCTGTATGTTGTACACGTGTGAGTGTTGTGTTTGTTATTGAATGCTGTATGTGAGGTTGCAGTTAGTATTTTGAATAATTTTTGCTCTAGTACTTAATGGAAAGTTTAATTTAGAAATTAAATAA